CAAACACAGATGGTTTCCCTCTTGGACCCGAGACAAATGTTCTGTCTTGGACAAAGCAATGATATTCCTGAAGTGAACCTTCTGTTTAAAACACTTGAGCTATCTAGATGGCAGAGTCCACAATAAGCACAGTGTACCCCTCAAAACAATATGCTTGTGTGAATATTCTTCTTCAACAGGCATGTCCAGCCTGCGGCCTGAGCCCTGCTACAGTAAAATATCAGGGATCAAGAAAATTCATGTGCAAAAGCTTTAAAAATGGATAATTTCATACAAATCTTCATCAAGGCAGTGAATTTCATGAAGTCCAAGGCACTGAATCATCTCCAATTCATGGAGTTCATTAGAAGTATGAATGCAAGTTACAGGGTCATCATTTGCTTTTCTGAAGGAAGGTGGCTAAGACAGGGTAAAACACTAAAAAGTTTATGATTTGCAAAGCGAAATCAAGTTCTTTATGGAATCTAAAGGAAAATTTGTGCCAGAACGTGAAGATTAAAAATGGCTCACAGATCTAGCCTTTTTGGTGGATTTGACAGCTCATTTAAATGAGTCAAACATGCATCTTCAGGGTGAAAATCACCTTTTCTGTGCTATGTTTCAGACAATACCAGCATTTGAAATGAAACTTAAACTATGGCAAGCTCAAATTATGGCAGACAATTTCATGTATTTTGACACAGTGGCTAAACACAGTCCTGGGAACAGTGAAAAATATGCAGCCACACTTTCCATTTTGACGAACGAATTTGAGGATAGGTTTCAAGACTACCAAAAAAATCATCATTTTATTGTATATTTGCAACTCTATTTTCATGCAACATAAACACACTACTTGCAAATTTTCACATGGAAATAGAGTACAGAGATACAATCAGACATCTAACTCAAAACAATTTTGTCACATCTCTTCACCAGACTTTCACAATCCTTCTTTTACCAGAGAAAAACATCCCTCACTTCACAGTCACACCTTATTCATGTCGTCACTTTTCGGTAGTACATACATTTGTGAGCAATTATTGTCAAGGATAAAGCATATTTCATCAAAAGTCTCTGATAAACACCTTGAGAACTCACCAAGAATGGCAACCAGTGCCACTGAAACAGCCTGATGGATTAATTTCAACAAAACAAGGTCAAACATCCCACTGATTTTATGTTTTTGTTTCTCTCTGTTTTTTATGTTTTAATAATAAATAAATAAGCTTTGTTACTTAAATACATTACATTTATTACATACTTTATATGCAGTCCAATTCCTGCTCACTCACTGAGGCCCAGGTAAGCCAACAGTTTGGACAACCATGTTCTAGTTAAAAGGAAATTGTGTTTCTAATCACTTGTCTGAAAAGCTAGGCATATTGAGGGCAGGTGTCAATCTATTGCACTTTTAACCTTCCCATCTGAAAAGGGAAACCACCAAAGGCAAATGCTGTCTGTACAACAAGCAATTTGCTTGACGAAAAAACCAACACTTGGCATTGATCTATTGATCGACCTACTTTGGCAGCAAAGTAGCTTATTTAATCCATGGATGACAACACTGACAAAGTGACCGACTAATTGAATGAGTTCTTACAAGTTACAGTTCCTCAGTTCTCCAAATATAAACTTATTTGGGCATGTATGTACACGCAGGTGAGTTAGCATAGGGTTTCTTTATAGTGCGATACGCTTTCACACAAAAATAAGCAGCAAAGGCTGACGGTGGGCTTGAGCACATCAGGCCAGCGTGAGGTCTGAACTTGCTTATATGGACAGATTACAGCTTGGCTGTAATCACGTGCTAAAACCACGTCCAGCTCGCAGCCCAGCCCACCCTATGGCCACCCTCAGCAACAATCAAACCAGTGGAGCAAAACAATCCCTCTTTTCTCAGTGAAGCCCAAGCAAGCAAAAAAGTTTTACAGTTATGACCTAATGAAACTGTTCTTCATTTCCACCTTCCCTTATCAGCACTTCTTATTTTTACCTGAAAACAGTGCCAGCCAAACCTGAACAGACCTTAACATAAGCAGATGACTATTAACCTCACATGGCCACAACGAAACCTCTCTGTTTATAACTTTGATTACACTCTAGTTTATAATGCCTTTCATGGCCTTCAACAGTAGATGTTGAATATTCTGAGGTGACAGATATGGCCTATTCTGGAAGTGGACAGCCTCATACCAATGCTTCTTCTGCTTACTCTCTCCTCTTTTGAAAGCTAATTTTGCATGAAGCCTTGCATTAGGTTTTGCACTAAGCAGCCTCCTTTGTGCATCTGGCCTTTTTTCCTGACCATATCATTTATTAAAAAAACAGTATATTTTAAAGAGGACTAGTACAGAAATCTTTCATGGGATAACTATTTTAATGATGGTATAGAGACAAGAACAGAAAATGAAAAAACACAGACCTCAGCATGTTAAAGGCCTTACGGAGTACCAGGTTTGTTGGCTTCAGCTTTCCTTTGGCAAAGCTGAGGGATCTACTTGGAGAAATTCCCCTTCCACCTCCACAGTGGGATTTTTGTTTTATGTAATACTTCTAAACAAACAAACCAAAAAATACCCATGCATTATGAATCAAGGTATAAACACAGTCTCGCTCAGCCAGGATTTCCTCAGAAAACAGCCCTCAAAACCTCTCTCAATGTATGTTTCACATATTCCATACGGTCTGGCCCAAGCAGCAGGCTCACTGATGCTGGAATGAGCATCACACACATAAGGAACAGAGCATTGTCTGGTTTCCCATTCTATAACTTCAGTGTTTTAACTGGATCATACTGGACCGGCACGACTGTTTTGGTTTCAGCTGGGACATATTCAAAGTGAGTTAGCTGTGGGCAAAATTACTGATGGGAAAAATCTTGTCTAGCTACCACAGTACTGAAAAACCAGCTGTGCTTGCACTGCAAAACTAACTGAAAACCAACTATGTAACAACAAACATAACATAAAGGAGCACCGTGCATCTTGCAAAGGAACATTCACTTTCTCATGCAGTGCTAAAAGCTTCACTAAACCAACTTCTCCGTATAGAAAAGAAAGATTTTAACTGGAAAAAGTATCCCAGAAAGCTAACTTCTTACTGCTCTTTGGACACTCAGAACTTGGGCCCCTGAACTGTAAAACAAGCCAAAAACAAACAGAAAAGTAACTTCCATAGGTAGGTAATACGTGTATATACGAGCATGCATGTGTTTATATGGCTTCTATTCAACTGTCCCCTCCTTTCTCATCTGTCAAACCTACACTGCCTGTCTTCTAAAGCAGTAGCCTGGAAACTTGTAGACACACTTATCTTTAATTACAAGATGAGTTCCCCAAGTGCTGATGGGAATATTCAAATAGAAGGGAAGGAGGTTAAAGTGCAGACTTGTTACAGGCTCAGACTATTTTCCAGGCTGTGCTTGTGAAATAACTGAGCAGGAAGGATTAAGAGAACTGGATGGGGTCCCAGCCTTCTTACAAGCAGGACAACAACTGTAAACATTTAAAAGATCAGATCTGGGTGTAAATCCTCCATCACACCATTACAGACTGGGATAAATCCTCTGCTATAGTAATACGCTTTGTGGCGTCACATGGAACCTGACAAATGTGTGAGGCAAAAAGGGTTGGAGGTGTGATCCTGCTGAGTGCGATAGGTCTCTTTCCTTGCACTTAAAGCTTTCCTCTAACATTCCCGAAGCAACCTTGGGATCTGGGGACAAGGACAGGAAACGTTTTTCTCATCCTCAGGGAATTTTTGCAGAGCTGTCAATGACTGACTGACTGTTTCAGACAGGAAAAACAAAATGCAAAAGGCATGTTCGAGCTGAGCTTCAAATCACACTGCAGATTTGAGGGATTTTCCTTTGTGTTTCATGAGCCCATTTTTCAGTAGTCTCCTAATTTTGAGGAATTCATGCAAAAATACAGAAATAACTTATATGCCTAAGTAAAAGGCATTTCAATGTGAAAATAAAGAGTTATTTATATAAAACTGACTGCAAGAGGCTAGTCTTTACAATGTTGAAAGCAAAATCAAAGTTAATGGAAAAAACAGTTTTTTAGTTTTGCGTTTCTGTGGTTTGGAAATTGCTTGGGTTCTTTTTTTTTCTTTTTAGTTAGACATTTCAATCTTGCAAAAAATTTCCGACTGTACTTGAACCCATACTTCATTTATCAGAAATGATTTAAGCCTTTATGAGCCTGCTTTTAAAAATGAATCTCTGAGCCACCTAACACACAAATTATACCCTGCAAGGTAACAAATGTGCTCGTCTCTCCCAGACATCAGCAGAAAAAGCGTGCAGTGCTTTCACGTGATGCTTTGAGAGTCTGGTCTGTGCCATATGTCTGAAGCATACAGGACCTGAGGGTGCTGCACAATTTCAGATATGGGAATTAGCACTTTGCCCCTTTGGGCCATCTGTACAATATATTATTTATGAAAGAAACCCCAACTCATTCAAAGCATGCAGTGCATGTTCTGGCAGCTGAACTGCAGTTACTGACTGGGGGAAAAAGTGTGAAGATAACGGGTCTGTGAGCAATCATGGTGCTAAAGGATATTTTAATGAAAGGGGATAGAAAAAGGCATTTTTGTTGCAAATGCATACCAGGAGTGGAGCGGTTCACAATCCCACCACTGAGTGTTTCTCCCAGAGCTTTTCTAACGTCAAGGATGTTTGTATATTTTTCCCTCAGTTGGAATAACAGCTTCATCCAATGCAGTGGGCTAAACAGGGGAGAGTAGTCTCCACTGGCAAACAGCTGGCAGCCGCAGAAGAATCCCTGCCTGGCCCCATAAATGCCCTGCTTGTATAACTAGTTGTGGCCAGATGCACACACAAACACTGCAGTCACCGCTGAACCTCAGTGTGCCCGTCACTTTCCGTGCTCCTGGTTCTGTTCCCAGACACGTGCCCTGCCTGCTTGCTCCACTTTTATCCTCGGCTCTCCCCTGGGTCCCAAACGGCAGCAGCCTCGTTCCCTCCCCTTGCCATTCCCCTTGCGCCTCTCCACACAGTGGCTGCGGCTCGCCTTTTGGCTCCCTTCACTGCACTCTGAATCCTCCACATCCCTCCCCGTGCCCTGAGCGTCTGACCAGAGAGATGCCTTCTCCTTGAGGCGCTGCCGGCACCCCCCACCAAAACCCACCAGGTGCAGAGGAGCGGGGATGCCGAGTCCCAGCCTCCCAGAGGACTCCTGATCCCGACATTGCCATAGCAACCGCTCCCACTGCTCCCTCGATAAGTAGCAGTGCTCGCAGAACCCAGCTCGGGACGTTGGAAGTCCAGACAACCCAACGCTGAATCGCAATCTATCTGCCACCGCTCCGTGAGTACTGCAGCCTCCCTCCTGTCTCTGTCACCTCTTGCTTTGCTCTGTTCTTTTTTTCTTCTCTCTCCTCCAGCAGGGCAAATCTCGTGTCACCCATCCCCATCCCATGGGAAGCTGGCTGGGGATGCTCCCATACAGGGTGATGCCATATTGGGGTTGAAACGTAGGGGATGGATTCTTGGGAAGGGAAAACATGAGAGAAAACAGCTTCAATTAACTTCTATACTGGGGTGGACACTTTGCAAGGAGCTGGTACTGTGACTCCCTATGCCACTGTAAAGCATTGGCATGTGTGAGGGCTGGTTTACACCACAAGGAAATAATTAAGGAAGGTTTTTCATTATTTACTTTCTCAAAAGAGAAAAACTTTGCAGCAAGAACTTATGCAAAAGTAGCTTGTATGTTTTTCAAAGTTTAACCGTTGGGATTGGTTTTCTGCAAGTTTATGGGAGGCAGTGGGAGTCAGTCTTCAGGTTGATTTTGAACTAGCCCCTAGAAGTGCACAAAAACCTGCTTCCAGACAGTATAAGGGATCTCTGCATTCGTGCAATTATTAATAGCAAAGGTTTCAGTAGAAGGATACTCCAGCATCAGGCTTTCAAGCAACAAATTTTTCCTAAGAAGTTTTAAGCATGTTTCAGAAAACAAACATCAAACTAATCTAACAAGAACGTCTGGAGAGAGCAGCCTAGCACTCAAATAACTGAAGGAGAAGTAGCATGAAGCTGTTCTCCGTGCCCAGGAAGACATCGCCTCAATAGGGTAATGTTAAAAATACAGCAAAACTTGTAACAGAAAGTTTGGAGCTCGAGGCAAGAACACCCAGACTTTCTATTTTTAGGGCATCTATTTTCTTTTCCAACAGCAGTAGATGAGTTGCCTTGTCTTGTTTACAAGATGTGCCTGGGAAGTAGTTCTAGAGGACCAGAGAATGGGTGCAGATAGAGAAGCCTGCAGAGAAGCCAAGGCTTTCTGCTGAGCACCAGCTGGAGGAGCCCAACACACACAGGCACAGCGCTGTTCCCTGTGCCCCTTGAGCTGCTTCAAATGAGCTCTGTGACTGGAAAGTGGGTGCAAGATGCCTAGACCCAGATAAGGGTATCTCAGTCTCTCTTTACATACTTGTCAATGATAAGGTGCCTACTGTAGGAGCCTGCAGAGTACACGCAACAGAAGCACAGACAAGTCTTTTTTTCCCTCCTACTTAGGTTTACTGAAAGAACTGGCGAGGGTGTTGGGAGCTTGACCATCCCTCCTTGCTCATGGGTACACTGAAACCAGACTGAGAGGGGCAAAGGAATGAAAAAAAAAAGATTCAAAACCTGCCTGGAGAGCATAAGGGCGTGCAGGAAGGGAAAAGATACTCTGGACTCAGAGGGAAACTCCAATGCCTGAGCAGCTGTTTGGGCAGCATAGCAAAGAACAGATCTCAGAGCATTAATTGCTGCAGTCCAGCTTCTGGCTCGTACCTCACACTGTGAAATAGTCCCACTTGTTCCCATTTCCAACTGTTGGGTGCTAGCAAGGCCAGGCCCATGCAGGGTTGCAGACAAGCATGCATGCTTGCCATCTCACCCCAGGGCCCCCACTGTCTATACTTTTGCTGCTGAGCAGCTTCTTCTAGTAGCACTCTGGCCTCTGAAGCCAACTCAAGCAAGGGCACGGCAAGGGGCTAATTCACCCCAGGCAGCCCAGGAACTCTGTTTCGGCTTTTCACTTCTCTCACAACAAATGCCATTAGAAGAAAAACAAGGAATGAACCACTACTTCCCTCATCCTTCTGACAGGAGTACACAGCCTCACATTTTGGCTCACATTTGGCATACAGGTCTGGCTGCCCCAAGACCTGTACCATGTTGCTCATGGCAGAAATGTGCTCTGGGTCCCGGAAGAGATAGGTACCTCGTGTCATACAGGCTTAGGAACATTATCATCCACATATCAAAACAAATACCAATTAAATTCAGATTAGATTGCCAACTGCCAACTAACAAAAGAATGCCCTTAAGAGTACTTTCATTTAGGTAGTATCCAAGTCAACATGACAAGGGTGTCTTTAATGATGAGGCGTGGCCTGCAAACTAGTGCATGCTTTTTCTTGGAGGTTTTTGCCAGTTGTGGAAACAAACCACTCTTCTGACCAAATAATAAATGAATATTAAAAATCTGCATACTTACAGACAGCAGTAGATGGTCTACTGAAGTCCTCAGAAGCAGAGTTTGTGGAGACTTTACGAAGGGCCAGTTCACAAATTCTAAGGAAAATAATAAAAGGTAATTACTTGTATGCATAGCAAGTGATGTCCTTGATGGTGAAGAGTCCTGATATCTATGGCCAGTGAGCCCCTGTAAACTTAGGTAAGAGCTGCAGGTCAGAAAATTCTCCATTTTATGGGTGATTACAGTCATCTACCGATGATTTCTTTGAGAACAGTATTGTACCTTGAGTTTAGATCCAAATCAACATGTTTATAATTTCCATGCAGCCTGGCATGCACTTCAGGTAACTAGGAGCAGGCAAGCAATGCAGAACAACTTTAGTCTAAGTAAAGCCACTTCTGTACCAAGGTCAGGATCAAATGAGAAAAGTCCAGCTCTTCAGATTTATTCTCACAGCTTTTGTTTACTGTCTTATAAGGGAGACTTTTCTCATGAGATTTCATTTCAAGATGGCTTGAATATCACGTGATCAAAGGACCTCAAGAGATTTAAATTGTTCTGGTAGAACTCTGTTAGTCTGTCTTTGCTGAGTTCTCATTAAGCTCCAGCCTGATCACTTGAGATAAGTTGTTCATACATCAAACCAACTAAACACCAAAATAGTAAAAAAAAAACCAACAACCCTGGTCTCTTTGTCCATCTCTAGGCAAAATATTTATATTTAATGGAATCCTAGAATTAAATGCATTGGTGGACTGTTTGATGAAGCCCCATAATTTAGGGAAAGAAAGGAATCCTATAATTTGCATGTATGTGTGTGTACATATGCTTTAAAACTATGCTAGTGAGTAATAGGAGCTCCTTTGTGTATCCATACCAGGCCACTCTACAAAGACTTCTGAAAGAGCATACTAATTAATAAATTCAGAGTGTTTGCTGTAAGCTACTTAATAACAAAGGTGCAATTTAGGAAGAGAAAATTTCAGACATTTTCCATGTGAATCTTCATCACTTACAAGAGTGCACGTTGGAGTCCTGTTATATGACAGTGACCAGCACGACAAATAATCCACACAAAGCTGAAACAGCTTTCAGTCATATCAACACTTTTCAGCTCGCCTTGTTATTCCTTGCTCTTTTCTCTGTCTGTAAGTTGAGCCCACCCTGTTTATCGCCAAATGCTTTTACAAGGAAAAAAGTTACACAGGAAAAACACAGCACTCTTTCTCAGTCTTTTCAGAAGCATTTAAGGCATCTCTGCCCAGTCGTTTCCCAAAAGTAAGAGGCTAGAGGTGACTCCTTTGAGAGCACAATGCTCTGCAGGGTGGTGTTATAGCCTGGCTGTGCTGTACAGAAGGTAGTCTCATGCTAAGTGACTATTGAATTCTAACTCATATGGAAAAATCTATATCCATTTTAGACAGTGTCTCCTGCTGAGTGTGATTTAGAGCTTCACTGCAAGCATTAAAGCTGCACCAAGGACGAATGTGGCTCATTATGTTGAGACATACAACCGAGTGCAAGAAAAAAAATCACAGTGCTCCATGCAAATGGCAGGCATTACCTACAAAGGTGACTGACTGGAGCACTGTTAGCATGAAGGCTGGTAGGAAAGGAGTTGCACTTAACACACTAAGATCCGAGAATGTGCTTCCATTTGTAAAGGCATACTAATGACTTCATGCAGTCACATGAAACATTACAGGGGAATCTGTTTCTTCAGTGTCTGGAATTGATTTTAGTGGTTTGGGAAAGCACCATTACAATCCTCACATACATCACCTCCTTTTTTTGAATGAAAGGCCTTTGTGTAATGCACAGCAGCAGGAAATGGCATCACCCGACAATTCACACACTGTATGCAACATATATAGACCCAAGACACCAAATCTCACCATGCATTCTGATCCTTCTTTTTGTGTTCTTTTTTAACAATGTGCAGTGTGGAAGCATATTTGTGAGCAAGGCAAAGTTTTCTGTGGGGCAAACTTCAAAACAAAAGGGGTCAGAAGTTGTAAGGCATGTAAAGGCATGTTTTAAAGCACTACAGTTGCTGTAGGCTTGTCATCTGTGAAAATACAAAGACAGATCTAAAAGATTTATTTAAAAACATTATTTTTCTAACTATTAAATTAAGAAAATATTAACAAGGAAGTCTTATACTTACATGTAACAATCCCAGACGAAGTCTCTTTACAAACTTGATTTTCCTGAGGTGAAACAATGAAACAACTTAGAGAAATCAAATCAAAGTTAATTAGATTTTATAAGGTATGGCTAGCCAGTGTAAGTTATTACTAATCTTACAAGTAGATTTTACTATGTATCTCCACATTTTTTCACCCAAGACCTGTTATAAAAAGTCCACAATCTGAAATGTTATCTTTAATTTTACTGAAAACTTTCTAAATAGGACAACCTTCTGGAAAGAACATTACCAGCACAGTCATAATATTTAGCTAACAGCCAGCATAACTTAATCAAATCCCATAACATCAAATGGCACTGAAGAAATAAAGTTTCTCCATCAAATCACAAAGTGCAGTGTGAACTTTCCTATGGCCAGATAATACGTGTTTATGTTTTAAATGAAACGTTGTCTGTTATGTCTTAAGCCTTAGCTACAGATTATTTTTACAGTCAACAAACAGAGCAACCATACCATGCTAAGATGCATTCAAAGATTTCTTTATGAAGTGTCTTCCTAAGTGAAAGCTGTTATTTATTTTTGTTAAAGGCCAACAAAGTTTCCAGGTGGTACAACCCCACAGTACAGACCTGATACAGGACTGGATCAGATCTTCTGTGGTCAAACCCCTCGTCCAGGCTTTATTCAGTGGGGTATTTACGAATGCATCGAATTTTACAAATTTCTGTGAATTTTAAACACTGATGGGTATGGTAGTTAATTCCCTAAGTACATTATGAGTCAATGTTGCTGACATTTATTACTGTAATTTAATATTGCTGCATTTACTTTGAAGTCACTGCAGTTTAGGACATGTTTTTCCATTCCCTGAAGGACTAGCTCATTGCATGGTATGATTGTGACCTTCCATATTTTGTTTGGCAAATATTTATGTTACTAGATTTTGCTTGAGGTTTAATTGTTCTTAATATAGATGGAAGTTTTAGTCATAGAAATGAGGTTAACTGACCTAATGTTCATTTCTTGCTAACAAACAGCTGCAATTTTCAGAGAAGTATTATAGGTAATTTCTGGCCTGCAGCAAGATCAAAATATACTCACACAGTACAGTCTCCTGTTCTCTCATCCTGTCCTCCTCCTTCCTGTTTTTCTTGACTGCATTTTCTTTCACCTTTCGCTGTTATTTATCTTTTCTTCTTCACCTCCATCTACTTTCCTCTGTTTTTTTTCCCCACTTCTTCTACTGTTGACGCAGTCTCCTGCTGATTCTCTGCCTTCACTGTTTTCCTGTTCCCTACAAGGAGGCCAGTGTGATCTTATTCCCCCAAAACAGAGAACAGAGGTTGTGATCAGGAAACTACCACATCTGGTAGCTTCAAAGCATCAAAGCTTCAAACCTTTGGGGAATGCTGGGGATTCTCAGGTAGGAAGTTGGACACCAGGGCCATCTACACTTATACATAAGAGGGGATAAAAAGCCTTGAAGAACAAAATAGCAATCCAAAGAGTTCTACAGACCACGGGCACTTAAGCAACCTTATGACATGGGTCCCCAGTGCTCCTACCAAGGCCACGCGGATGCATTCCTCATGCTGGCTCCACAGCCTGTGGACACTGGCCGTCTTCCAGAGTCAGCTCTCACATCTGGGTCTTTGGGGGTATCTATAACTGGAATTATAAGAATTATCTCTTCAGCATTCATAATTTAAGTTAGATTTCATAGTAAACACCAATTATGACAATTAGTTTACAGTTGAGAACATGACGTAGAACAAAATCAGAAAATATTCTATTTCCTAGCATTTATTTCCTGCATGTGATAGCAGTTTCTGGATGATTAAGGTCAATATTCTTCTGCAGAGCCAACATATTTTCTGTGCTTCTGTGGGTCGCATAACCAATGTAGGTGGAAAAATGGGATATCACACATGTAACAAAGACTGTGAACATAAGCATCTCTTAGCACGCTTGGGCAAAATCAGGTCAGCAGACTGTATGACAGAAAGCAGCTGGAAGACAAGAGCTTCCCTCAGTCTGGCTTGCAAGTGGATACATAACACCAACATGTCTGTTTTATGTCATGCTGCTGCTTTTCTTTCTCCCTTTTTTTTTTTTTTTTTTTTGGTGCTGTAGTTTCAAGGGGGAGAAAAAACCCATTTCAATGATGTCAACAGAATGTGTTCAGCCACTTGATATCCCAGAAGACAGACTGGACAAGCGAGATTCACACTGCAACCATTTAGGTAAGTGTTATTAGATGATGTCACTGCAGAAATTGGAGAGGTGTTTCTACACATCATTAGGCCCTGTCCAGTTGCTGTTTTTCCCCTCCAGCAGTACAACCGAGCCCTCGTGAAACCCGATAGATTACACCTTCTGCTGACATTTCTGATGCCAGATGGAAAGGCAAAGAGTGGTTTTCTTTCTTGCATATAAATATTAGCTGAAGCTCTAGAACAAAGTTAATTAATGAGGAAAAATGAAAAAGCCATTGTTCTTTTCTGTGGTAGAAAAAAATTGAGCACTTTATTCATTTGTACAACAATAAACTGAAGCCATATAACTGGATCTTTCCTGAATGGGCATTCTACATGCTATTTAAGTAACAGATTCTAAATACCTGCCTTTTCTCTAACGGAGTGGGCTAAGTACTTTTTTCTTCTTCATTTTCAATTGTTTCCTCTCTGAACCTATTTTGTATGTTAACTTTTGCACTGACAGTACCAGAGATTTTTTTGCTCCACCATACATCTATGTAGCAGACTTCACACTTGATAGATGTGCATTTTGTATATTCATGATCTTTGCCTCAGTTTCAAGTGCTATTACTTCACTGTAGCCTGGTAAAATCATCACGAAGATTCAGAAGCTCAGAAACCAAAAAACATTTGCTCACTTTTTAGCTTTGCAATAACAATAAGAAAACAATACAATTTCAGGTGTTTGACCAAAAAAAAGTGTTAGGTCAGCAAATTTTATAAACTTTCTTGTTCTGCCCTGCATGGAAGGTATCCTTGTCCTGTCTCTCTGCCACAACACTTCTAGCCAAAGGCACCACTTCTGCAGTTGCTGGCATACTCAACATAATTGCTCCACAACATTTTTTATTTAAGTAAATACAGAACTAGTTCCTGTCTACAGATGGGAAACAAAGGCAGGAGGAGGTTAAATGAGTTCATTAATACCATTCAGTAAGCCTCAGAGGGCTGAAAAAAATGGTCTGTGTCTTCCAGGATGGTTAATCAGGAGATTGTCCACAGGGCTGGGAGAGCTGAAGCCAAGCAAGAAACATCTGAGAAATCAAAGCTTTGGTTTGCATGATGATGCTAATGACAGGCTAGACTTAACTTTTTCAGCTTGCACGAGCACCCAGGAATGCAGATCCTTGCAGAAAAATCACGCCTACTATCTGAGTCACTTAAGACAAGCCTCATTTTAAGAGAAAACCAAAAACCCAGTGTAATGTTATGTAAATCAAAAGTGAATACCGACAGCCCCGTGGCTCCGGAAACAAAGCCAGCTCCTGAAGGAAACAATATGCCGGTTTTGTTCGCTAGTACCTCCGACTGACCTCACACAGGTAAAGCTCTCCCTCACAAAAGCGCCCTCGTCACTGTGGAAGAAACAGCCCCACACTGCGGGCTGAGCGGGAAAACGACGGTGCTGCTTTCCTCAGCCACGCAGCGCGCCGCGGCCCACAGCTTCACCCCCTGCTTTATGCCGGCCACCTACGAGGCAGAAGGCCCGCCAGTCACTCAGTGGTATGTACACGTAGTACGGCACAGAGGCCTCTTGTCTGACTTCCTATTTAGGATTTCTTTCTCCACAGTCATTTCAGTCTTCTTGGATGAAAGCTGTATTATTCAAGCTTTTCTTTTCACCATCTGTTTTATTATTTCCCCTCTGCTTCACTCTTTTTTTTCTTTTTTTTTTTTCTGCAGAAGATCTTTCAGAACAGCTGATTAAGAGCTGTGATCTCAAGAAGAAACCAAGAAAAGGTAAAACTATCCAGCCTTCCCAAAACACTGAACAGGAGCAAAAAAAGCCAAGGAGAAAAGACACACCAGCTATACACACCCCACCACCCCTAACAGGTAAGCGGTACATCTCTTTGAAATCTCACTATGCAAGAGTGGACTGAAGCTGGGCAAAGCTCCACAGACGTACTTACATCGCTGTGGAAGCAGACGGGAACACAGCTTCACGCCACGTGCTCCCAGTAAGGCAGTGAAATGGGGAGGATCCAGCTTGTGCCCTGAAGCTCCTCCTGCCCAGGGAGGACCTGTGGGAGGAAGCTGGAGAGGCACGCGGCCTGCTCTTCCTGGAAAGCACGGAGCGGCTGTGCGTGCAGGGATTCTGGTAAAGGCTCGGTGTTTAGAAAAGCCAGAAACCACCGCAGTGTCAGAGGAACTCCTTGTGTGATGCCCTGTGCTGCTGTACATTGACATACCTCTGCAGGTCAAGAGCTGAATGCCACCAGCCTGGGGAAAGGAAGAGTGTGGAGCAGAGTGGCCCTGAAACCAGGTGGTTTTTCAAGATCAGCAGGGGGAATGAATGATTATCTCATTCCTCTGCTAACAAACACTCCTTGTATGCTCCCTGGGGACTGAGTTGTGCTCTTGTATCAAGTGCACTGACTTCTTCTCATGCTACATACATAGGAGTTAGCCACTAACCATCTGTGTGGTCTCCTGTGTGCCTCCAACAGTTCACACTTACGGAGTGAAAAGCAAGCATTGGGGTGTTTTGGTATTTGTAACTCCTTGCCCCTGGCTCTTCAGCTTTCATGTGTATCTGCCTTTCAGTAATTCTCTCTTACGAAATGGCTCAGATCTGGGAAGCTGCATTTTGTACACCAAGTAGTCACTGTATGAATAATTATAGCATTTCACTAGCTTAAATAGGCAATTTCTGAGTAGCCATATAGCCCATGAGAAGAAGATTAAACATCCATACGATTAAACCGCTTCGATAATACATCTGAGTTTCTGGAAATAGAAGATCCCACTCATCTTCACCACGATTATTGATGGGCTACAGTTTGGCCCATGGCATAGAGCCAGAAACCAGCTAGCCTCAGATCACTGCTGTATATACTCTATAGGATGTAATTGACTTGAGGGAAATGTGCACTGTTGCAAAGCCAGAAAAGAATGTACACGATGCTGAGCAGATTATACACTCATTGGGAAAGTGCATAGTAGTATTAGTAGTCATTGGGAAAGCCATACAGGTGCAGATTTCTTCAGTGTAAACAAATCTGAAGTGACATTTTCTTTAATTCTTGCCTGCAGGCATACTTTCAGACTTTTCTGATAATCTGCTGAAAAGGTATGGTATCTCAGAGAAGCCACAGAGAGAGAGAGTGAGTCAGGGCTCTCAGATCACCGAACTGGAGCAGAAAAAGCCCAGGAGAAAAGATACACCTGCAATACACATCCCACCTTTGATAATAGGTAAGAAACTTAGCTGAAGTTGCTTCTAGGCTGGATGGAAGTTGTTCTGCCCAGTGTATTCAGCAGTGTTGGCTGAACTGGACCTATATGGTCAAAATATCCAATATTTTGTGTGGTGGTTCATTGAAAGACTTTTCTGTACCCACTACTCATGCTAGATAGACCTGAAGGGGGAGTGAGAGGAGACCTGATATCACTTAAGTATCTCATGTAAAGGCTATCTTGTTTTTTGTGAAAATCCAACCACTGCCCTCCTTTTCAAAGTAGAGCACACACAAATTTTTAGGTCATGTTACTCACATTGCCTCAGATATCCTGGAGCAAAGCTGTTCTGATGAACTCCCTGTTAATTTGAATCTACACTCAGGAAACCAAGCTGTGAACATGTAGTTAACTGCACCTTAAAGACAGTTTTGTGCTTCTGGCACAATACGCAGTGCAGCAGCTAATTTGTTCAATGAGCATATGGATTCAGCCATCCATGTTTTGGCCCGAAGACCCTTTGTTTGTTGAGTTTCCCATGTTTTTCTATCACAGAGAAGCCTCAGTGCATCAATGTTTCTGAAGGTCTCTCAATATGTAAAGCACTTTGGAAGCGTTAATTACTGCTACTAACCATGGGTGCAAGAAACATGCACGTTTGTATGCTATGCACCAGTTGTTTCTTAACCACAGGATGGAGCAAAAGAATGAATGAATGAACAAATGAAGAAAAAAAGCAAACAAACTAGCCTCAGTTTCAAAACAAGTGCTAAAACTTGAAAACTTTGGTTCCCTCAGGAAACTCTTGTATGAAACAAGGTCTGCTGTGGGTTGGCACTACTGCAACAGTGAGATATACTAGCTAGCTGAAGAGATGCTGAGACAGCTATTTTGGCCCTGAGTGACTAAGCAACAGCTGAGTACATCAAGCACCTGAGTTTTAGGTACTCATGGAATTTTATGCACAGATAAAAAATACAAGGTGTGTAAATGGCTTCAACAGTCACAGTAAGTGCCTTCGTTTGTAGACATCTGCTTTCCTTGTAAATCTAGAATCACAGAGTCATAGCATCATAGAATCATGAAATGGCCTGGGTTGCAAAGGACCACAATGATCATCCAGTTCCAACCCCCTGCTGTGTGCAGGTCGCCAACCAGCAGCCCAGGCTGCCCAGAGCCACATCCAGCCTGGCCTTGAATGCCTGCAGGGATGGGGCATCCACAGCCTCCTTGGGCAACCTGTGCCAGTGCCTCACCAGCCTCTGGGTGAAAAACTTCCTCCTAATATCCAACCTAAAACTCCCCTATCTCAGTAAAACCATTCCCCCTTGTCCTATCACCATCCACCCTCATAAATAGCCGTTCCCCCTCCTGTTTCTACGCTCCCTTCAAGTACTGGAAGGCCACAAGTTTCCCCACGGTCTTCCCTGAGTCTTCTCTCTTCTAAGTTAAACCAGCCCAGTTCCCTCAGCCCTTCTTCATAGGAGAGATCTGATCCTTCACAACTGATTCAAACATGCAATAATTTTTTTTCCATTTAACCATCTTACATTAATCATTATGGGGCTCCTTAGAACAAAGGAATATGACTAAGTTTGCAGGATCATGATCATGGCAGCAAGCATGGCAAATACTAGCTCCTGGCTCATTGAATTCAAGCACTTGAGTGGCTTGCATCATTAAAGCAGCATGCTGCAAGTGAGTCAGTGGTCCAGTCATTTACTGGGAGAAGTTGCAAAAAATCTGTCATAAAACTTCTGAGCCCAACTGTAAATGCTCCACTTTGACATATTTAATATAGAGCACTGATAATTAACTACTTATATAATTGCTCAAAGAAATTATCAAGCAAATTACCTGAAATTTCACAGGACAAATAATTAGGAAAAAAAAAATCAGTCTTTAAGAGAGCAATTCAGAAACAGAACTGGAGGCGAAGTTTATCAAATAATTTGTAATAAATGTCTCACGCTTTATACATGAGGCCTGCTCTTTCTGTGGACTTTGGAAGAGTGTTGAGGGATTATTTTGGTCAGTTCAAAACAAATCGCCTTCAGCCATTTTAGCACCTTCCAAGATGCTGTGTGTCCTTTGGACTTCAGGATCTATGCAGTGGAGAATCTAAAAGTGAAAAATGTTTGATAGAAACAAAAAGTGAAATGTTTTTACTGGGATAATGCTGAAATGATTGATTCTTGTTTTGGTTTGAAAGTAATTGCTAGCTAAGGGGATGCAGCAAGGATAAATTGCTTCCTTGACACATCTCAACAATACTATGGTTAGCATCTAGTCACTTATTATTTCTTATTTGTAGCCTAGCAGTAATTAACTCAAGCAGGCATTTAAGGGAGAAGTAAGAATCATTTTAACCATCTTCCCCTCTTGCCTCCTATGAAGACTTCCTCTTTAAAAATTTTTGTAGAAAGAGAAGTCAGTACATTTTCATTGCCAAAATGCAAAAGGGAAGAACACAATAAAAAGAGGAAAAATGCAGTAGCTTTCAAAAAGTGTGGCAAATTTCAAAGTGTGTTCGTTTGCCACAGGGGAATGACAAAAAATAATTCATTTTTTAAGGTTTTCAATGACACTTCCAATTTCACCTCCTTGTCTACTGGTGAATACACTATCCAATATACTGTCCAGCACTCAGCATGAATTCAAAGCAGCCTTCCAGATGGTTCCCTTCTCTGCAGACTTTTCCTTCCAGATCCTGCTCTATATGTCTGTTTCCTAATGGTTGACTCCCTCTGGCAAACTTCTGCTCCTCTCCAGGGAGAAACAGCCTGTGTGAATTTGATTCTGTCTTTGCTCTTAGGATGTACATTTTTTTCTTCAAGGTAAACCAACATACACAGTTCTGCTGGTTGAAAGTCGCTGGTGGCAACTTCATGTCTTGTTGTGAATAAATGACTCATTGTGGCTGAGGGCTGGTCCAGTATTTACTGCTTGTTTACTTTCAGGGTTATCCCATCAGGTAGCAGACAGAGAATAAACAAGCTGAGCTTTTGTGGAATGGCGGTGCAAAATAGCATCTGAATTATAGACTTGGAGACCTGAGAAGCCCTAGCATAGCTACGTGTGCTAAATAAATATAGAAGGACCTTTCTGTCCTTCTGTCCCCATTCTCCTGGTCCTGCCATTGCAGCACTGAGCAGCACACTCTGTGCCACACGTATCCTTTGTGAACCGTGACTGAGTTGTTCCAGTTTCTTACATCTCCCATTTTTGTCCCTCCCAAGCATCCCTCTTTCAGTTGTATCATAAGCAACATGAAAAACTCCACTCAGTCCTTTGTTGTAACAGTAACATTAATTATCTTTTTAAGCGGCTGTCCACACAAATAGCTTTGTCATGAACGTGCATTGAAAGGGCAGCTGTTTTCCCTCTTGGCTTTGGCCAATTGGTGACAAGTGCTCTAGTACTTTCTTTTTCTCTCTTGGGTGACCACAGACCCTTGCAAATAAAGCAAGCCAAACTGGACATAGGGAGTGACAAAAATAATGTATCTGCTGGATAACATGATCCACATGTGAAGTAGAACTGGTTTTACACCTTGCAAACATCAATTAGGAAATGGAGTTATAGAAAGGTGACTGCTGAATGAGGATGTCTGCATTGTTGTCTGAAGAAACCCATATCTCCCTATTGTCTGTAGTAGTGAATCAGTGCCTGAGACAACCTAAATGTCTAAGCCCAGGCATCAAAGAATCCTCCCCTTCTTCTAAACATACTTTGGCTTCAACCTCCTTGTGAAGTGGCAGAAATTATGTTGTGACCTGCATGTACTGCTGAGCCTGGAACAGAGATCTTCATTGGCTCCCCTTCAACCAGTCAACGCCTTGGCTTTCTGAAGTGATCAGACAACAAGATTAAACACAACCACTGTTCTAATGGCTTTCTTTCCTCAAACACAACAGTAAGAGATTTAAATCCCATCCAAGGCCAGCTCTCCACTCTGGAGCGTTCTTTATTGCCATCCTCATCTGCCAGTGTATTCATTTAACTGAAGCATTTGTGAGATTATCAGGCCCGTGTGTTTCAGCAAATATAGGAGTGTGGTTCCTGAAATGTGGCTGCCTGATGTTTCTTAATCAGATCAGAGATAACTAGTAAAACAAGTTTCAAACTCTTTGTTCTATCCTATCCTCTACAAAACTGGTTAAGGTGTCTTTAGGATATTAACTCACCTGCTCAGTGAAAATCTCAGCATACTGCAGAAGCAGAACAGCCCCTTTTCTGTGCAGTGGATATGGCTGGAGCACTCCAGTAAATCCTCCAGCCCAGCTAAAGGAGTGGTCTGTAGGCAGGCAGGCAAGTGGAACTGATATCATCTTGGTGGTTTACATCCCAGGAAGAGATCTGAGGTGGTACATGGCAAATGGTTGGTGTAAGCCAACATTTTTTGCCTATGTCTGAGCTTCCTAATAGAAGTTCTCATGTCTCTGTGAGTCTTTCTGTTCCTAGATAAAAATTGCAGGTAGTTGCAAGTTATCTCAGGCAAACATGACTGCACTTAATTTCTGTGCTACTTTATTTTATCAAGTCTCTTGGCAGATATTAACAGAACAACCTACCAATCCTCAAAACTGATATGTGGGATGAGCTGCATTTCATAATTTGCACAGCTTGGAAAACAAAGACTGGGAGGCAAAATGATTTACTTTAATGGTAAACACAGAAAGACTGATTTACAAATGTTCCCAAATTCCCACATTTTACTTCCACTTTCAAACTTGGAAGTTGCAAACTGTGTTCTGTTAAGCACACTCTCTCCACAAGTGATAAACAGCATTGTGTCAAACCCCTCAAAGTCCTTTTCCAGTGTTAGAGAAATAATTTCATTTAAGACATCCCACTCCACTGGTTCATGTTACAAGTCTGATTCTAAGTGCATGTAGTTTTTCTTGAAAAAATGGCTGGTGATCCATGTTCTAGAAAGTTAACAACCTGCAACTCAAGGCTACGTACTCATCTAGTTTTTGAGTCCTGAGCGTTCCTGGAACCTTTGGAGTTCATCAGTCAGCAGCATTACACACTGATAATGATGACTCATCTTGCTATTGATCATGGTAACTATCTGGCATGCTGTTGCTGCAGGTCCAGCTGAGAGCTGAGGGCTTCTGGTTGGCTGCTATCTCCCAGATGTCTCTAGCATCTGCTCTAGAAAGATGTAATCACGCCATTAGAATTCAACACACTTTGTAATTCACAGAATCACAGAATTTTAGGGGAAGGAAGGGGTTGGGAAGGACGCCTGGCATTTATCTAGTCCAACCCCCCTACTAAAGCAGGTTCCCTGGAGGTATTCAAATAAGAGTGAGAGTGTATGTGATCATCAAGTACATGGCAGCTTCATTTATCCTACATTCCTGATCTCTTATTCCTGAGTTTACCCTAAAGATAGGTTAATTCTCATCAAATGATCCATTCCGACCTCATATTTTAAGAGCACTTGTGCTTTCACAGTTCAAATACTTTAAGAAGAAAAAAAATAAGAAAGAAAATAGAAAAAAAAAGTTTGCATTTGTCTGAATTGTCTATAATGAATAGCAGTCCAGGTGGGAAACATTTACATCCATCTCTGTAACATAGCATAATTATTTGCTATAACAGTGGTTGCTGCTTTAAAAAATGAAGTCCATCGTGTTTCAAAATAATATCCATGCTTACCTTTCAGTCTGTCTCATGGTGCTGGTAAAACCATCTGGTTCACAAGAAACAAGTAACTTAAAATGAAGAGCAGTATAGGCTAATATTTTCATTAATTCGTCCCCTCTGGAAAGAGCTCCAAAGTTGAAGAAAATCTTCCTGTGTGGTATTGCTCTATTTTCAGACCTCATGAAGGCTGAAAGCCTTCTCTGTTCAGAACGCTTTCAATGCAGAAAGAAGCAAAACCAGTTGGTTTGACCAAACAGCTCAGTTGGTTAGTGCAGACTAAAAGCAAACACCAGGAGTCTGAATTATGGAGAGATTTTGTTGGTTTCTACTCAATGGTTACCCTCATCCTGTTTTTAGACTGTGTTGACCTCTACACCAAGGAAGGTGGCCATAAACTATATCTTACTTCTTGCTTTTTACTGGAAACAGGCAAAAACAACACAAAGTGTTAAAATAGAGATCAAGAATATTTCCTAATGCATTCTCCTTCTCTCCTCTTTGCTTTATTAATTTAATCTCTAATAACAAGAATGGCTACAGTAACTGGGACGTCACTGTATCACATAAAAGCCTTGAGGTCTTACCATGTCAAGTATGAGAGAAAGAAAGTAAGGAGATATGTGAGAGATTTGTGGAAGGTGATCCATAACCTGCCTATAAAATCAAGAAAAGCTTAGGAGGAAAGAAATCCATGTGGAAGGATACACAGCATATGTATTTTCGATGAATCTGGTTTATAGAATCCCCATGTTGTGCTCTTAACTGTGAAATCAAACTGTCCTTCAGTTTTATGTTATATTTTTCATCAGTGCCTTCACAATAGTGATGAAGCCTTACTTCTGTCCTTATATTGCAGGGTGAATTGGCTTCAAAGCATATCCAAATCTCTGACCTCAGTAATGTAAACATTGGCACTAAGTCCTCAGTAACATACCTGATTTTAACATCAATCTTAATTCTGCTGCTTCTGTAATTGATTGATACCCTGTAGCTTCAGTGGGGATGGTGCTTGACGTGGGTATTGTCTTTGTCTCTTACAGCATCTGTATTTGCCAAAACTAGTACTGTTATATACATAGAGAAAGCAAGCATGCATACACATTCACACAGACTGACTCGGTGACAAACATTAGTTGATAGTATTTATTTCATCTTGCAAGATCGTTTTTTTTTTCTTTCAGCTTCCCAAGGCCTTTTAAAAAAACAGGTTACCCAATGAATCTTCAGTGTCTCTTCTCACATGTAGCAGAAATATGCTAATTTGAGTGCTTGTTAATTTTAGCTGGAAACGTGGTGGTCCGATTCTAGTTTATGAGTAGAAGGATGTCCCAAAAATAAATGAGGAGCAACTCCCAAGATGTTAGAAAAACTACTTTAGGATTAAAAAAATTAGAGCAGACAGAAAAAATTCTTTGTATCTTGATATATTATGAGGAAATGGCATTTTAAATCCATTACTTCTCTCTCCCTCTCCTCCCCCCCCCTGCTTTTAAGGCACAAAGCTGCTTACAGAAGAAAAGCAAACAGCGATTATGGAAGATGAAGAAAAGGATGGAGACACAGTCCCCAGTTAAGATTACAGTGATATTTTCAGTATTGCAGTGTAAATAATTCTGGGTCATTCAAAGTGGCAGCACATAGAAAAAGAAGTCCTTTCATTTTTATAAATAATTTTTTCAAGCATGCACTTGAATTTAATTTATCTTCAAGTGCTTCTCTGCATCTCATGAAATCCCAGCAAGCATTACAGGAGATGACAGAAAATTCACCTACATGTGGGGCTGGAAGGATTCTCTTGGTTAACCAAAGCAGCTTCCCAGGATTTCTGTCTTCAAGGGATCCACCTGAGACTGTATCTAGTACCTTGTAGTGCGGTAGTAAGAGTTGACCCAAAGGGCCCACCAACCCAGGGAAGCTGGCACTAGATAACAGGGTGTCAGTAAACGCATGATACCACTAGATATCACAGGATAGTCAAATATCAACTAATGATTCAAATTGCATTTTTCTTCTGACATCTCACCTCGTTCATCTAGCTTGCCTTCATTGGAATAATGCTGAGCACAGTAAATATTTCCACACGCAGGACTGATGTGATCCATGTTCCTGAAGTGCAAAGCAAACACGTCTTGGGCCTGTATCTGTTCGTGACTGGTGTTTGAGAGAGAAAAGGGCAGATTTATTGTCGTAGAAAAGCTTACAGCTATGGGCTGTTGGCACTGGCACATCAAACAGAACTGACGACAGAGCTCTCAGAAGAGAAACTTTTGGGAAGAGCAACATTTGCCTATTACAGTGGTGTAGAATGGTGACTTCTTTTTTTTTCTCAAAGGTTTCATTCCTGGATTGCTGAAAGCCAAATTAGTTGAAAAGCTGATCCTTTTACTCATCTTTTTATATATATATATCCATATGAGGTTTTTCAGCTCAGTCCTAGGAGGGGCTGGTAAGGATTAAAAATCACAACAAGATACTGCAGACTAAGCAAAAGAATAGCATTACTCTACGTCATATGCATAATGTAAGATGAAACAGCATCATACTTCTTAAAAATAATTTAATTAAATGATTAAACCAATAAATGTGTTCACGGCCAGCTACACACTTCAACATTTGTACAGAGATGGTACTTGTAGAATATTATACAAAATATGTAGGGCTGGATAGCTTTGTGCTTATCTTCATAGCTCTGTGTGCTAGATGGAGCAGCAACACCAGTGGACCCTTAGGGACCTCAGCACACAAATTAGAGATTACCTAGGCTGGCAGACTGCATCCAGTTATCTGTTTAACACCCATAGGCAGGCAGCTGAGGAGCACACTAGTCTGGACTTCATTTGCCACAGTGACTGACCCAGCATCTTTCATCCCATTCACAGATGTTCAGCTTCAAGATGTAACCAACAAGCTTATAATAAAATATGGTATATTAAAGCATACTAGAGATCAGCTGTATTATTAATGGGATGTCTGATTCCTAGAAGGCATAATTTTTAATCATATTAATCTATCAGCAAGCTAAGACAATATTTAAAATATGATCAATCAATGCTTTATTTGATAATGTTCGCATAAGGTACACAGTAAAGTATGTCACTGCAAGAACGTGGTAAGAATAGAAGTACAATCAGCATGTCACATCTGTGAGCCAATGCACTGCTGGTCTTTAATTTTTGGAACTGTAAGTTAAACTCGATACAACTTCTGTGAGGCACTGATGTGGCCCAAGCTTTATGCCATGCTCCCTGCCAGCACAGTTTCATTTGGATCCCACCCAAGCAGCTCAAGCAAAGTTTTATTATGAAATTCAGGAATACTTAGAAGATGAAAAATGTGAACAAAGGTGCTTTGAGGCCAGCTCAGGAGCATGCTGGGATTTAGGGGTTAGGAATTGAGATGATGAATAAAGGACACGGCCTCCTCCCGGCACAAAATGCAGGAATAGTAACAGACCTTGTGTTGCCCCTGCGAAAGAAGGTCCATGGCATGAGAGACTCCCTGTACCATTCCTGAGCTCCAAGGCACTGCGACAACAAATTGCCTTTATGTAAATGGTACGGTTTCTAAAGTAGAATGAAAAATTCTTTGGTAAAAAATAAATGCCAGGCTTGAGTGAGACAAAGCAGATATTCATGTATTTGCACATAACAGTTCACACCAGCTAAGAACCTGAATGAGCTGGAGAAAAAAAAAAGGAAAAAAAAAACACCCAGCCTCTTTGCAGTTGTCGACAAAAACCCTGAGAATTTTTTCACTCCAGGGAAGTTTAATACAATTTCAGAGAGCCATAAAAGTACCAAGCCTTGTTTTACCCATCCTTAGAGTTCAAGTCCATTGTTGTTCAAAAACAAACAAACGAACAAACACGATTTTTCAATCTACTCTCTCCCAGCAAAACTTATTCGTGTTTGGATTACACTGATGTCAACTGAGCTGTAATTATCAACAGTGTAATTGTAGCTGAGCTACTGAATCCCAACTGAGCTTCTGCACCACTAAAGCAGCTTTTGTCTCCACGTAGAGGCTCCTGCAAAATGTGAAAGGAAATACATGCAGTACTGACCAAACTCCTGTTTGAAGAGAAAAATACATACATGAGATGTAAGCACAGACAGTGGCCATCCCGTAAGCACTCTCCCAAAACAGCATCAACACAAGCAGTGATCGTGGTAGGCCTTTTCAAGACTTTTAACAACATGCTGCTGCTGCAGACCAAAGTCGTCCTCTGAAATAAAGAACCTGTGCATGGCCATGGTGCTCTTGCAAGTCTCGGGAGATGCTCGTGTTGTTTCTTCCAGCCAGCAGCTCCTCATAGCTTTGCCAAGCTCATTGCTCGACCCTTGAGGCAGCGGGGTTTGCTGCTCTCTTTTTAAACACAGAATGGAAAGAGCAGCGCAGTAGCCTGGGAATGTTACAAACTGGAGGTATCTTGAGGACTATGAAGGCTCTGATGTGTCCCCAAGGCATTTTATCACCTTATTAACACGAGCGTCTTGGCTCAGCTTGTCTTCAAATGAAATTTGCAGCGTGATTTGAGTCCAGTTTTACCAGTGTTGCCAGTAACTGCTCACAAAATATAGCAAGAGTGAGGGTGTGGAGTCCTGAAAAGATTCAAATGAACATCATCAGTGCCACAAAAAATGCATTTAGATGTGAAAGCCCTTAAGAATACAAGGCAGGGGCACAAATAGGATGTGACCTCATTGCTCTGAAGAGGATTTGTTTCAAAAGCTGGGGAAAGTTGACACAGCTTAATATGAAAAAAAGAATAACACACTTTAAGCCTACCAAAGCACTGTGTGTTCTTTGCTAAAGAGGAGCTATGGTCCCACTGACATCTGTGATGGCACAGCTGTCTGATTTACCATCCCTGTATAGATCAACTTGAAGCTCAGACATAAAAACGCTGCAGTGTACATCATTCACTGAAGCTCGTTTAAAATTGCGTGTTTATAGTCTGGTAATTTGGCATTTACTATTTCTTACCCAAGAGCTACGTGAGCAACTAAAACGTAATTTTTCATTTGGCCAATTCACTGAATAGGAGGCTTTGTAGTGTTTCTGGGAAGCAGTGCGATGGATCAGTTCTCAAAGTTTTCATCTGCCTCATCGTATTCAATGACAGTGTTAACCTATGGGTGTCAAACCTGTTTGTCTAGCCTGGGCCACACAGTGTAGAGGAATTGTCTTGGGCTGCATATAAAATACAAATATTTTATCCGTAAATATTAAAATTGTTTATTTTGTTTTGTGGTTTTGACTTCTTCATTATTTTGTATTGTTATTTTAAATTCTTGATTGTCCAGTCTTGAACAAAAAGTCCAAGTGAAGCATCTGGGCCGGATCTTCCTGCTGACGTTCAGCCCTTCTTCAAGTCCAAACTGAAGACTGCTTCTCCACAGGAACAGCTGCCTCCGTCGCTTCTCTCCCCCTGGGGAGGGATGAGGGAGTGGGACAGGAAGGATGGGCTCATGGAAGCCTCAGCTGTGAAAAGATGAGTTACCAGGAAATGGAGGCTCCCTGTGAGCCCACAGAGTGGCCCTGAGTTGGGGCCCTCCCTCCCAGCTAATGGTAAACTTACTTGTGCCTCTGTGATGTTCAAGGCCCCCAGTAGTTATGGTCCCTCTGCTGGACTCGTTCCCCTGCCCCAGCGCAGCAGCTCAGAGGATGGCAGTCCCTGCCCTGCTCTCTTCCTCAGGATTCAGTGAAGAAGAGCTGAGAGGACTTGGGAAGGGACAAGGGAGAGGGATGGGAAGGACAGACTAATAGGAGCCTTGGCTGCAAAAAGAAGAACGACCAGGAAATGGAGGCTGTGTGTGAGCCCACAGGGTGCCCCTGAGCTGGGGCTCTCTTGGATGAGGGCAAACTTACGGGGTGGGAGCATCAGCGCCGGCGTCGAGGCGGCCGTTTGGATGGAGGTGGACGGATCCTGGCACCCCGGTGATGCCTGGGGCGCGATCTCTTTCTGATCGGCCTGGCAGTGGTGCCGTGCTGGCTGATCTGCAGCAGCGGAGGTGGATCCACCTCCATCATGTCATCCTCCGGAGGCAGATCCACCTCCATTGGCTCTGTGTCACTGCCAGGCGGGTCCACCTCCATGGGCTCGATGTCGTTGCCCATCGGCCGCCTCTTCTTAAAGGGCGGTTGCTCCATCTCAGATAGGAGAAGCTTTCTGACAGGCAAGCGTCACTCGCTCTCTCCTCTCAGGGGTTCTGAGTGTCCCATGGAAACCAAAACATGGCATTTGGGAGATGGTTGCAAGAATGTGCCAAGAGAGTTGGGGGGTGGGAGGGAGGGGCAGTGCTGGGGGTCCTCAACCACCCTGCAGCTGCCTGGCGCGTACCAAGAAGGTCAGGGCAGGGGATTCTTGAGCACCCTGAAGCTGCCTTCAGGGATGGAGTTGTCCTGGTACCAGGCAGTAGCAGAGAGGGGACAAAGCATACTGACACCTCACAGGCAACCAAGGGAGATGCAGTCATTAAAAACCGTTGAGTTTGAAGGGGTGTACCAGCTGTCCTTTCCCATCCCTCACCAATGCCTCTGAGTGTGAGAAGGTGGCATCTCTTCTAATGTGATCCCAAAGGAGAGAGATAGGGAGAAGAGGGCCTACTGTGCTCTGGGCAGTCACAATGGGACTACAGGCGAGTGCACTGGAAGGGCTGTGAGGTCCTTGAGACCTTCTACCCCGAGGAAAAGAAGAGCAACTAGGGTTTGCTGTCCTCAGCCTGTTCTCTCCTTGTTTAAGGTGAAGTCAGGCCCTCCATGGCAGCACAAAGTACAGCTGGGTATCAGTCACGGCTCTAGATAAGCAGCTTGGATCTCTGCAATCTCTGGAATAGGGGTATTGAAAAGAGAGCTTTGGGGCAGGGATACTGTGTGTCAGTGGCTGTTCCCTATTAGTTGACCCTAGTGTACCTCAAACAGCATGTGTTCAGACCCTACCATCAGGTGAAGAGGAAAGGGCGGTGTTTGTTTCCTCTGCAGTGAATAAATTAACTACTAAGCTGCCCAGTGGGCTGACACTCTCAGTCCCCTCTCAGCTCATTCGTAGCTTTTTTGCCTTTGGCTCGTGGCTTTTTGTGAAGGCCTCTGGTGCAGATGGCACATTTAGAGGACTGATTGTAGGTGCTGCGTGTTTGATTCAGTCCAACTTGGTTGAGGCTGGATAACCTGGGGAGGACACAGACCTCCCTTCCATTGAACCAGACACTGGTGCATTAGTTTCTTAAAAACAAGTCAAATATCCCACTAGTTTTATGATTTTGTTTCTCTCTGCTTTTGTTTTAATAAGAAAATATAAAAAAATAAGTTTTATGATTTACACATGACTTGGACGTTAACTACATTGTGTATTTTATGTGCACACCAAGACAATTTCTCTTCACTCATTGTGGCCCCACGCGGACTACATGGAAGAAGATAGTGAGAAATCAGCCTGAAGGACTCATGCTGCTCAGCAGGAGTGAACAAAAAGCCACAAGTAGGGAGAAGGAAGTGGGGACATGTCCTGTCCAGAACCAAACTTGCCTTGTGAACCCATCTGTTTCATCACCTAAAAAGACCCATGAATGACTCATTCATGATGCTGAGACAAAGCCCCTTGTACCTCCTCTCCCCTTTCTCCTTCAATCTCTTTTTTTGCTGCTCTGATTGCCCTTAAGGACATGGGAGCCAATCTTCTTTCCTATTCTTTACTCTTTTAGATACAGAACTACATAAAACATACGGAATGATGGAGGCCTCCCTGTGCCTCACTCAGCGTTGATCTGAACATTTAGGTTTTCAATTCAGACTTTCTTTTCTAAAACAAACGAACAAACAAAAAGAAAACGATGACTACAAAAACTCCCTCTCAAAAACCAGCACCAAACTTACTTGCATAGCGACCCAGTGATTGGAGCAAAGACTCAATTCACAAATACCCTGAACAGGAAAAGCAAGCAAAGAAACAAACAAAACCAAACACAATAAATTATGCAATTGCAATGAATAATTCATAATAAAATCTAAATGGCATCAGGGGTCACTCTGGACTAAATTCTACATTGCTAACAAGAGGTTATTTCGGAAATCACTGAGATTAAAAAGTAAAAATGAAAATAAAAAGTAGAGCGCATTGCAAAGCTAGTCCTCCCTCAAATAACACAGATTCCCCTTCTTCATAGCTAGAAAATTTCCCTTTGGTGTACGCTAGATGGCAGGGTTGGACTGAGCAGAGGAGCACATCCTCTCAACCATACATTCCGTGCACCGGGCTGGATGCCACTAACACAACAGTTTCCCTTAGGAGTAGTTTTCATGACGTGCCCAACATTTCCAAGGAGCAGTCTGCACAAACATCCTTTCTCCCTCTCTTTAAAGTACTTACTTAGACCTGGAGCAGGAAGCTTTGGAAGAGGGAAGGGACATCGCGAGACATCTTTCCAATGCAAATCACAATCTGCCACAATCTGCCTCCACCTGCCTTAGCTCCAGAAAAAATGAAACATAAAACCCCTTTATGCCAGTCAGGTGAATATACTGACTTTCTAGAGGGGACTCCATTACAGAGCAACACAGCACAGCGTGGGTTCGGTTGAAGAAGAATGTGAGCAAAGAAGAATCTGATCAGAATGGGATTAAGTTTCTAGCAGGCAAGAATAGTGAGACCTCAGGTAAATCAGTTCATTTCCCTTAACTACCCAGCAGTAAAATCAAGATTGTGACTTCTCTCTGCTTCATGACAAAGGAGAGAGTGTGAGTCAGGAGAGTAAGGACAAAATCCAGTCCCATTTAAGATGTTGATGGCACAGGACTGTGTTAGCTGGTAAACTGTCCTGAAGCGAAGGAAACAACACAGACAGAAAATGAGTTTGGAAGAATAGTATAATTTTGAGTTTCAGTACAGCCTGCTTATGTAAAACATTGCGGGTACTTTACAGCAAAATATAATTCTCAGGAAATTCCTAGAGTTATATTCCCATTTCATAAACAGATGGCTTTGAAGCGCATTCCTCTTTGCATTTAGTTCAGGCAGTAATCCAGCCCGGCTGCTAGGGTCATGAGTTCTGATGGTGCTTAAGGTCAACGCCACAAGTATCAAGCAGACAAAAATAAGTGACATGGGGACATCAGAGCGCTTGGTCAGCTGTCTGCTGTGTTTGTGGACATTTCTAGGAAAATGCTGTGCAAAGATGCCACACAGGGCAAGTACACCTAGAATTGCAGTGATCTCTAACAGACAGGAGAGGATGCCCCAGATGTGTTCATGCAACAACCAGCTGTGTTGTACTGTACTGTACTCTCATACAGCAGTGTTACTTGCATACACTGGTGCAGTTCTGATGTTGGACATTCTGATATATATATACCAGAATATGATTTCACAATGAATCGACTTTTAGGAAATGTGAATAATAGAATTAGTCGATGCAGCCATGGATACAACATAGATCAGTGCAGTTTTTACAGGAGAAACCCTGCCTCACACACCTTTTGAGAGTTCTCTGGAGGAAGCCATAGGGATTTCCAGAAGACACATTGAGAAGGTCCTGCTGTCACAGCTACTGGTCTGACACTGGCTGAGAGAAGATCTTAACTTATGAACTTAACATGGATAAATAACTGGTTAACAGTGGGGGTTATGGGGAAGGCATAAAATGGTCAGCCTTCACAGTAGGGGAGAATTAAACTCTCTGCTGTTCACTGTGCTTATCCAGAAGATGTGGTTTGGAAAAGGTGCTGGTAGGAGATGAAGACAAGCAGGGCAGAGAAATAAGGAAAGTAAAGTAAAAAAGAAAAAAAGAAAAGGAGAAGAAGAAGAAAAGAAGAGGAAGCTTACTTCAGTGTAATTGGCAGAATGTCTGGTATACCTGCATAGTGAGTATCATGTGCAGTTCAGGTCTTCTCAAATAGAGATTAAAAAAAGATATAGAGAAGATCAGCAAGGAAGATAAAAAGTTGAATAACTAGGTTTCCCTGTGAGGACAGTAGAAACAGAACAGACTTCATCAGCTGGGAGAGCTGATATAAATCACCAGGGCATGAAGAAGAAAGGGAGTTTTTTGCCACTGTTTCTCACTGCATAAAATGTAGGAATGAGAGCAACTCCTTCACAGAGTGAAGAATCTCAGGTCCGTGGGATACAGTGCACCACAAGAACACATGGGATCTCATTGAGATAAATTAACGCCACAGAACTAATAAACATACAGCTGAGGTCACACGAGGCACAATTTTAATGTCCTGCTATGTCTTCTTTTCCCTAGTG